TGCCACTTCTGGCATGTGTGCCATAGGCTTGCCATCACAGGAGTAGAGTAAACCTGACTTAGGATTTTATGGGGAAAACACTGAAAATTCCACAAATGTTTGCTAGAATGGGAAATTTTAAAAAAATCACAAAGAAGATTGTAACAAGCTATTTTTCTAAATGCTGCCAAAACAAGCCATCAAGAATTGAATACAACTTGAGTGCATCTTTTATCTTTTTATTGCAAAGCAATATTTACCTTTTTACCATTAGATACAGGGCACCGGGGCCATGCTGCAATTACATCATTTAGTTTCTAGCTTCTAAGATCTTGGAACTGTGGATTCATGTATAATTAATTCCACAATTGAGTTAGGATCAAGCTGTTTGAAAAATGAATATAATTTAGCATCGTTCCTGTCAGTTTACAGTCAGACAGATTATGACTTATTTACAGAAGTCTATGTCGTTTGAGAGCTACCGCTAACCTTAATGACTGCTGTTAAAGACACAAGTCCCCAACACTATGGGCATTTCTATAACATTTGTCACTCCTATGATTTATTTTCCTTTGTGGATTTAAAAAGCACATGCTGTTGCTGAGTTGTTTTTTTAAATGCTTTGATTACTAAAAACATTTGCAGAAGCAATTTCTCTTCCAATTTTAAAGTGATTTCTTTAAGAGATCTCTTATATAATTATGAAGAGTGTAATATTTTGTAGCTCTCGTTCTTATTCTAGTGTTTACCTAGCTAATTTGATATTTTCACCATCAGGATACAGCAGGTGTGTCAAACTGGATTTCTTCGAGGGCTGGATCAGCATTGTAGTTCTCCTTCACGGGCCAACACCTTTTCCAGCCAAAATGAGGCATGGTGGGTGTACTTGCCTGTTTTGGCTGGGAAAGTGGCCATCCAGGTCAAAATCCAGGAGGCCATTCAGGCCAAAAATGGGCCCCGGAAGGCTATGCATGGGCCCCTGCACCCCGTTTTGGCCGATAAAGTGCTGTAGGAGGCTGTCCAGGCTGAAAACGGGCCACACCCCATTTTGGCTGCCAGAGGCACCGCAGGCCGGTCCTTTGCTATTTACAGGCTGGCCCCGCGGGTCCTATTTAAGCATCCTTCTATTTTTCAATGGTATATTAGACAGTGTTACAGATGTATCTATATTTAATTCCAAAGATAAACACCATTTTGTGAGCAGATAGCTAGGCCTTGGGTCCTGATGCCCAAATTCCAAATGTGTTTTCCAGGACAAACTTTCCCTATATAGTACCCACCATGTGTGCTGTTTTTTAAATGCTATGAATTTGTTCAATCTGAATTGGAATGTTGGTTGAACACAACTGGAGGTTCTGTTTGGAAAGATTCTTCTCAAGCCCTAAACATGTTTCATCAACATTTTTTCCTTCTAAGATATATTGTTATATTATAGAAGTTCTGTGGCTTTTATTGCTGCCAACTGATTTTAATCAGTTTAATTCCCACACTGGTGTAATTTTTAGGGAAAATATGTGCTTGTGAAGCAAATGATTAATTTTCACCTCAGCGTACTACTAAAATCTCTCTCCTAGCTTGGAAGTTAAGGAAAAAATGCCTTCCATTGGTGTCAATAGTTGGAGAAAAATATTTCTCCCATTACAGACAGAGACAACATCTTTCAGTTCAGACATGGAAGGCTTTATTGACAAGTGTGCTGTGGGAGAAAGAAATGCCGAATCCATTTATCTTAGCATGGTAATATGGCTCCTATGTAAATGAGCTAGAACAATACATCATAGAACAAGGCAATTGAATAAGGAGCTGTTAATTTCTGTTACCTTGCTGTCTCTCCTTTTCCTTTCCTTTTCCTGCATCTTAATTTTTTCCTATTGAGTATGAAGACTAATAAAAAAAAACAAAGCTAGTGTTTTCTGGGCAGTCCTGAGTTTTCTTCTAATACGAGTCTCACAGCAATTTTAAAAATCAGGAAAAGATTAGCTTAATGAAAATGAAGAATGCATTTTTACTACCTTCCTAGAAGATAATGTACCGTAATTTTAACATGATACCATTTTTGGATCAGAGTTTTGTATGGGTTTTGGAATGCTCCTTTTGCCATTTTTAGACTGCAAAAATGGCTGGAGTGTTGGAGGATATATTTTTTTTACCATGGAAGGTTCCTGATGATGCCAGAGCTTGATTTAGGGTGATGGAGATGGTTAATGTCAACCAAAATCGGCAGAAAAGCAATACTTGCTTTACTTTTGCTTTACTTTGGAACCTAATACATGTATTTTAGGATATTGGGGAACAGAAGCCTATTAAGTAACATCTTAATAAAATGCTGAACACATACATAAGAAAATAAAGGCAGAATTCGCTGTACATATTCAGTATTTATTCAACTGGAAGAGGAAATGCATCTATGAGCTATGAATTTTTAAAAAAATACTGGATAAGTTTTAATCACAAAAAATGTCCTAACTTATTAGCATTTGATTTAATTCTGACATGGTGGTTGTCTTCAAGTATTTGAAGGACTTGCCATGTGGAAGTCAGAGCTGGCAGTTATTCAAAATTGTTCCAGAAGCCAGAATAAGAAGCAATGGTTCATAATACAAAGCAATAGATTTTAGTTGGCCATTGTTATACAAGAAACAGTCCCAGAGGTGGCAATGTCTCTTTCACTATAGGTTTCTAAACTGAAATTTGATGGACATATGTCAGGATTATTGTAATAACTGATTCCTGAACTGTGCAAGGGATTGGTCCCAAAGATCTCTTAGTGTTCTTCCAACTTTCCATTCTCGGATTAAGACTTTAGTGGATAAATCCATACTATCTGGTCTTCATGTTTGAACAATTAATTTTGTTCACATTCAATCTGAATTTTATAAGCCTAATATGATCCCTCCCATTTTCATGTAGATTTCTCCAAAAGGAGAAATGAGATGGACCAGTGTGATTTATATCTGCAAACTGGACATGCTTTTATTGTGGATCAGTTGACTCTTACTTTTGGCTGCATCCCATAGTTTTCTCTTGCAGCGGGAAAAAGAATATTCACCCCTTATGTTAGGTAAATGCTAGGAATGTAGTTTTGATTACCCTTTGATTTTCCCTAAATTGTTCCTGAAAACAGTTTATCCAAACTCAGCTTTGTAAAAAAACAAAAACAAAACAAATTTTCATTGTATGGATGTTTTAATTCATTTTCTTGATGTCAAGTATTCAATGACATCCAGGGTTATTAGAGGGCAATGTTTATGAAGAATCTCCTTTCTTTCTTCCCCTTGCCATTTGTGAATGTGACCTTTCAGGTTGAGTTTAATGACTGCCTAAAGGGACAGCACTTTAATCGCGGGGAGATGGAACTAGTGTACAGACATTTTGGTGAAAGGTTCATTGCATTATAGATCTCATTAGTGCTGATCATTCTGAAAACAAAAAGAACAAAATAATTCTAAGACAATTAATTTTTAAGACAGTCAAAACTATGAAACTTTTTTCAACCTTCTCTTTGATTGAGATTACAATTTAGGTACCCCTGAATAATTTGCATTCACCAGGCACAGTATAAAACCCCTGCCTTTTTCTAGCCAGAAAGAGAAGAAAAAACTCATTTTGAGCTCTTATTTTCATCAACAGCTGGAGCCACTTAAGGGAAGCTATGTAATTAAGAGTCCAGATCTATGTTATCTCACTTTCCAACACTTTGCAAGCTTTTCCTTTTTACAGAAAGAAACCTCTTTGCACCAAAGGTGCTTAGCATATTGGACATGCTATTGAGACTATGAAATGTGCAAAATGCCTGTTAGAGTTCTTCATTAAGTTGAACTTGTACTTACACCCAAAGAGACTGTACTTTCAAATAACTTTTCCCTTCCGGTCCATTTCCTCCTATTATCTTACACAAAGTTCCTGGTCATCTGAGACTAGATCAGAGAAAGGAACTGAATAACAATGTCCATCCTTGGAATTAATCTGAATCCCAGCTCCAGGTGAACCATAAATTTAGGATGCCAATAGTCACGTTGAAATGACACAGCCAAGAAGAATTGATGCCTTCCGTTATGCCCTTTCATGAGCATCTAGAGGCTCTGTCTATTACCAGTTCTTGAGAAATAGGAAAGTGTGACATCCTTATCAAAAAAATTTACTACCGGTTATGTGGGCATGACTTGGTGGGCGTGGCAGGGGAAGGATACTGTAAAAACTCCAGTCAGAGGTGGTATTTGCCGGTTCTACGAACTACTCACAATTTCTACTACTGGTTCTCCAGAACTGGTCAGAACCTGCTGAATACCACCTCTGATCCTTATCCTTTCTGTTCTCCTCTCACTCCTAATCTATATGTATGTTATAATATAATATGAGTCTCTCTGTGTATTTTTCCACTGTCTCCTGCTGAACTCCTGACTTAAATGCTTTCACCAATCTTTTTCTTCCTTGCCACTGTTTATCCAGATCACTCAGAGAAAAGATTATATAGTGACCCTCTTTTCCTAAAAAACTGTAGTGTATATGTTGTTCCATTTCACCCAGGGATTATTTACTGCTATTGCCTTAGTAATGTTTTAAGTGCTATTCCCCACTGATTATTACTTTTTCCTCATTACTTTTTTCTACCAACTGTTACTTCCTCCACTGAGTGCTTTGTGGTTTTTTTGTGCTTTCATTGCTATTCTCCTAAGCTATTAGGGGAATATGTTTTAAGGGCTATTTTTTAAATTGGTTTGCAAAATAAATCTTAGCTTTTGTAAAATAATGTGAGTATGCTTGGGATAAAAGTAAGTTTTCATTGTACTGGTGGCATGCTGACCAAATTGTGCCATAACAGCTCAGTATTTTCTTTACTATGAGCAGGGAATATTATACATGGCATGAGTACACTAAAGCTGCTAATATGATTTCTAATTCTCTCATTTCCGAAAAAGCATGTTGTGAAAGTTTTGATTGAACGAAGTGAACATTTAAAGGCCCATTTGATAACAACTGAAAGAACAACCACATTGTAACTTGGAATGTAAGATGAGTACATGGGGTAAAGAACATGAAATAATTAATGACTTCATAAAGAAAAATATTTCTGTTGTGGGTGTCTGAAATCAAGAGAAAGGGGAAGGATGCAATGGAGTTGAACAAAAGTGGTATGATCTAGTGGAGTGGAACTGATTAATATATGAAAGACATGAAGTTATAGATTTAATTATGTATGAAAGAGCTAAAACATTAGTACTTGCATAAATAACTACCGTGTTTCTCCAACAATACGGCCTCCACCAATAGGAAGACCCAGCATGTTTTCTAGGCATAAAATCAAATTAAGCCCCTCCCCCCAAATTTAGGCTTAAAACATTTAGGCTTAAAACAGTTTAAAACATGCAAAATGGGGGGAAGGGTGGGGGGACTTGCCGTTAGGAGCGCCCCGCGGGCAGTAATTCCTCGCCACCAGCCGCTCCTAACGGGTGATCATGGGGAAGCGCAGAGAGCTCCCTACTCCCACCAAACACCTTTGCTGCACACCCAAGACCTTTGGCACCTGCCGCTGTTGCTTTCCCTTCTGCCCATTCTACCGCCACGTTTGGAGCTGCCACTTCCGTGTTTGGAGCTGCCGCCGTGTTTGGAGTGCCGCCGCCATTTGGAGCACCGCCCCCACGTTTGGAGCTGCCGCTTCCGTGTTTGGAGCTGCCGCCGTGTTTGGAGCTGCCGCCGTTTTTGGAATGGTGGCGGCGCTCCAAATGTGGGGGCGGTGCTCCAAATGGCGGCGGCACTCCAAACACGGCGGCAGCTCCAAACACGGAAGTGGCAGCTCCAAACATGGCAGTGGTGCCCCAAATGGCGGCGGCAGCTCCAAACACGGAAGTGGCAGCTCCAAACGTGGGGGCGGTGCTCCAAATGGCGGTGGCACTCCAAACACGGCGGCAGCTCCAAACACGGAAGCGGCAGCTCCAAACGTGGCGGCGGAGCTCCAAACGTGGCGGTGGTGCTCCAAATGGCAGCGGCACTCCAAACACGGAAGCGGCAGCTCCAAACGTGGCGGTGGAATGGGCAGAAGGGAAAGCAACAGCGGCAGGTGCCAAAGGTGTTGGGTCTGCAGCAAAGGTGTTTGGTGGGAGTAGGGAGCTCTCTGCACTTCGCCATGATCATCCGCTAGGAGCGGCTGGTGGCGAGGCTGCCCGCGGGGCGCTCTAGATGAGGATGAAAGGGGGGGAATTAAGTCACCCCCAAAAAGACGGCCTAGCCATTTTTTCAGGGCTCAAAAAAAAATAAGGCCCGGCCTTATTTTATGAGAAACACGGTATATATAGCACATACATATAAAAGGAAGAAACCCTAACAATTAACATTTCATTAAATGTTACAAAATAATTTCGAATAAACTAAGTATATAAATTAAAAATTTTGCTATTGCCTTTGAAACACTTGGGTGTTGGTCATTTAACAAGAATACTTCAATCTCTCCATCATGAGTGTTTATCAGACTCGAGATTGGGTGTATTTGCTGTGATCAAGAGGGATTTTAAAAAGGATGTGTGAAGCAGATTCAAACTCAGTATTCAAGCAAATACCTATAGGTAGTCCTCAGCTTACAACCACAGCTGACCCCGAGATTTCAGTTGCTAAGCAAAACAGTTAAGTAAAGGTTGCCCCATTTTACGATCTTTCTTGCCACAATTGTTAGGAAATCACTGCAGTTGTTAAGTTAATAAAATGGTTGTTAAGTGAATCTGGCTTCCCCAATGACTTTGTTTGTTTATTCATGTCAGAAGCATCACAATTAAAATAAAACATACTATATGACATAAAATTTAAAACATAAAATACAAAATTAACTATAAGATTACAAGATTAAATATATACAAGTTAAACAGCAACTAAGAACATTAATTGTGTTCTGAGCAGGATACAAAGGACGGGTATACACATGTGTTATTGTCTTCATGTCACCACAATCGCAAAGGGGGCAGAAGCCACCAGATAGCCCCATTTGTTCTGAGTATCTTTGGATATTGTGGTACCCATGCACAGTCTATTCAATGATTTCTATACTTCCCAGCTTTTGCCAGACCCAGGTGCCAGCTCCTTCATTGGATCTGTCCAATGTTGGTTCTTGTACCTTTCCATAGGTCCACTCTCTGCTTTTAAATTCTTTGAAGTCTTCTGTCAACCTAAGGAAACTGTAAGGAGCCTCTCTGATGAAAGTGTGTTGTTAACACATTTGGGCATCCCCTGGGCAACAGCTTATAGCTGGCTAATCCTTTCAATCCAGAAGCATCCGAAGTGTAGTGAGGTCCCACCTGTGACCTTGTTTGTCAGAAAGTTGCAAAAGGTGATCAAATGACCCCTGGACACTGCAACCATTATAAATAGTTGCAGCGTTTCCAAGCATTGGGATTTTGATCACATGACCACAGGAATACTGCAATGGTTGCGACTGTAAAAGTGGTCATAAATCACTTTTTCAGTGTGTTATAACTTTGAATGCTCACTAAGCAAATGGTTGTATAAATAATATAAAAGATCAGATATAGGTATCTATATGCTACCAAAACTCTCAAGTCTGTAACCTTTAACTAGGCAAAACAGAGCATCTGAGTTGCCTTGAACTGCAAGACGGGCTGTAACACGATTGGACATCCATATCTGACTACCCGTATTCAGTCTTCATAGGATTGTTGCTATTTTTATTTTAATGATGAAAAATACATTAAAAAAAATTAAAGAATTTTGGTTCAAATGCCCAAAAACAATTAAAAAACAATTAAAAATGTCTTCTATTCTTTGCCAACAAAATAAGTATATAGCAGTTATTGAGCAATTTAAGTGTGAAGGGATTATAGAACAATTGCCTTGATCAATAGGAATCTAGGAGGCCTAAGCTGAAAGTTATAAATTAATTGACCATTTGTGATCTCACCATTTTATACGAGAACTTACTAACCTCATAAAGTTGCTATAAAATAAAGATAAAAGCTCATGAACCAGAACATGCATATTAAAGAAGCTACATCAATTATTAAAAAGAATATAGTAAATCCTAATGGATTGCACTAAGAATCAGGCTGCTTTAAACTAATCTAAAGAAATCTTGGGATGATTTAAAAACATTTCCAGAGCTTCCCAAAGAAACACATTTTGTGTGCAGTTGCATAAACATAATTGCTGAGTAGGCAACTGCAAATACACTTCCCAAATGTGAACCTACTTTATGAAGAAAAGGTTTAATACAGAGAGTGAAGAATTAAGTTTTCAATGTCACAGCGAAACAAAGATAGATATGTATTCTGCCAGAGGCAAAATGGAAGATTCTTTGTGGTGAATATATTGCCAGCTATTATGGCTCAAGAAGACATTTTGCTAACTATTTAATCATAGCGTAATAATTTGCCATTTCTTTTTTTTTTTTAATAAAGTTTTATTTGGGTTTTCACACACACAAAATACAAGTAAAACATCTTTTTTGAAAATAGCATGGTCCCGGGTTACACTTCTTTATACAGACATAAACTCAATTTTATGCTCATTTTTGTGTTCTATTCCATATCTTATTACTATTCTGCATTTTCTTTTTAGTTTTTTGCCTCTTTTAATTTTCTAAATTTTATTTTGATTATCTCATCTCAATTCAAATCATTATATTTGTACTTTTGTCTGTTCTGTTTCAATTTCATATTCTTTTCTCATTAGACAAATTTTCTCCTGTAGTTACTAATTGGAGTATGACACCTTTATATCTTTTAATTTTATCCATTCAACTCTTATTTAAACTTCGATATATACCTTAAGGTTATGAAATTCAATATAATACATAATACATAACTTCCAATCGAATTCTGCTTGGTACATTCTTATAATACACACTATATTCTTTTAAAAAAAGGATTGTAAATATATGTAATTAAAACCCTCATTCCATTCCAATTCAGTTCTATCATTAATATTCATTAAAGTCTTAACATCTTTAACATTTCTTTTCAATTAAATATCATACTTCCTTAAAGACACGTATAATCTCCATACTTAATTTTTCCCTTATTTCTCTTCACATATGTTTTATATTCATTTTGTTACATTTATTTATTGACAAGCATTCCACTAAGTTACAATAACTATTTTATCAAACATTTTAATCATACATTGTTTCATATTTTCTGAAATTATTTCTATTTCTAATATAACAATACTGTCTTATGTACCTTTGCAGAATTCCTTTTTCAATTTGATTTTCATCCATTATCTCTAAATTGGCCCTGTTTCTCTATATTTTGTTTCTGTCCTTTATAGCTTCTTTTCCTTTCTTTCTTCCCTCTCTTCTTCTCCCTCCCCTTCTCCCTCCCTTGTCTCTCTACTTCTAATTCTCTCTTCTGCATTTCCCTCTTCTGTTGCTTTCTGATTTTATACTTATTTTTCACTCTATTCTTTTTTTGGGTTGTTTTTCCCAATCTTAAACTTTCCATTCTCTTTCCCCCCTTTCCTTTTTTTCCCCACCTGAGACTACTTGTTCATTAAAGATGGCTTCTTCTTTGTCGCAATCTTCTTGTTCTGCAGGCATTTCTTGTTGTTTCTCACAGTTCCAAATCTCCATTTCCAAGAACTGAAATACGAAGCCAAAAGAAACTCTCCCTTCTTTTGCATCTTCTTTGTACTTTTTAAGTTCCATTTTCAATTCTTCTAAAAGTGGAGCCATTTTAAACACTTTTAAACAACCACCCGATTGATTTTAGTCATTCAAATGCAGTAACCAAGAATCCAGAGATCACCAAATAATCCAAATAGTCCCAAGCTGTTTCTTCTTATTTCTTTTTTCACTTTCTCTTCCTGGGGTTTTACTATTTTGTTGCGATGTTTCAGTTAAGATTTATCTTTTGAAAGTCTTGTTGAGATTTTACTGTAAGTTCTTTTTAATTCCAGGCAGTCTTCTCCCTTCCAGATCCTGCCCTTTTATTCTTTTTCTCTCCTTTCCTGTTTTCAAAAGTTTTTAATTATCCACAAATCTTTATTATCCCTTTGACTTTTTATTTTCAGCATTAAATGCCTATTAATGTCAAAGTGGATTTTTTTTCCAATTCCTTGCTTAAGTCTCTTAGCTGTCAGTATAGGAAGAGGAGAAAAAAAACCAAATCCTTTCCCTTTTCTCTCTCCTTCGCTGCTTAGAAATCCTCATTGGGGACAATGTTATTATTATTTTTTAATAGTTTAAAATAATTTGCCATTTCTTTGTTGAATTTTTAGGCCCAATTCTAAAAGACAAGGCAAATAATAATACAGACATTATTGTATAAATTAAAATTTTTGTATGAGATGTACATGGAAGAATTCAGATGATAGAAAATCGCATTGCACTCATGTCAGAGGCATCGCTTCCAGATTGAAAGGATTAGCCAGTGACATCACTGTTGCTTGGGGGGTGCCCATTTGGGGGTTCCTTTCATGTCCCCAGCAGAAGCTGGAGTTGATGTGAAGAATGGAAGCTCACCCCACCCCACGGCAGCACTTGGGTCTCAAACATGAGCTTGCAGTTTATCAAGCCAGTGTCCTAACCACACAAGCCATTGTGCTCCTATGGTTGGAAATATATTTGTCCCTTAATCTTGGAACCAGTAGAATCAGAATTCTACTGAAGCTGAATAGAAAATTATTTCCACATTTTTAATTATTACTACTAAAATATGTTTTTATAATTTTATGATATATTTTTAAATTCTATGCTTTGGTCTTGGACTATAAATAAATAAATAGGAAAAACAACTCTTGTGTTTACTTTTTAACAACACATCTGTCCTTCTTCCAAAGTTGAATTCTCCTCCTCCTCCTCCTCCTCCTCCTCCTCCTCCTCCTCCTCCTCCTCCTCCTCCTCCTCCTCCTCCTCCATCATTCTAATCTAAAAGCTTTTCAGATATTGAGTCATTCATTACCCATATGCCACATGAGTTATAGGCAGAAATTGTCACCTAAAGATACTTCATTATTTTATCTTGTTGCTGTAGCTGGATGCAGTAATAAAGGATTTACCTTTAATTTTCTACTTCTCTCGTGTGATTCCAGAACTCCAAGCCAGCCATTTCTACCAGCAATTCCTAATGTGTCTGGAAGCAGAGTGAATTCCCTGGAAGACCGACTATCTAATCAGGAGCGTACCACTGCTGTGCTTCTGGATCAGGCATTTCGGATCAAAGATGGCATTGTTTCATACCTTCAGGGAAATAAGAACTTTCAGCAAGGGGAGGCAGCAGCTCACCAGCTATTGGAAAATCACATCCAGACAATCACAAGTGTTGTTAAAAAGCTGAGCCACGACATAGAGGTATCAGCTGTTACTAGCAATTTATTAAATATTCAGAAGTTATGCAATGTTCAGCTTCAAAGAGGTCAGATTCATATTACATTTTCTTAGAAGCTTTTTTTCTTCCTAGGAAGAGAGAACCTTTTGCCTATTTTCTATCTTCAAGGTATTTAAGGATCACACCATTTAAATGGAGGAAATCTTCAAATGATGGAGGCATTTGGTACAGACGAATCTCTTTCCACTTTCCTAAAATTAATAACCACTTTGAAAATCTGGATTAAAACAGATTAATTCTTTGTATAGCTTGTTCCTAAACTTTTCTATACATAGATATAACATTTGGAAAAGTTTTGTGTTTGTCAATTTAGCTTAAAGGTGGTTTGTTTTTTTTCCAGATAACATTTGATTCAATTTTGCTTGCCCTTTCATTCATTGGAATGCAGAGATAGTTTGCAGTTGTAAACTCTTTCAAGTCTTCATTAGATGATTAAACCTCCCCCATATTTTTACTATAGCCTTCTAGCAATGTTTAAGGATCCTAATTGCATGTCAAGAATCCTGGTACAGCTGAAACATAGTAATAAATAGCAATAGCACTTAGACTTATATGCTTTACAGCCCTCTCTAAGCAGTTTACAGAGTCAGCATATTTCTCCCAAAAATCTGGGTCCTCATTTTATCCACCTCAAAAGGATGGAAGGCTGAGTCAACCTTGAGCTGGTGAGAATTGAACTGCCAAACCGCAGCCAGCAGTCAGCAGAAGTAGCTTGCAGTACTGTATTCTAACCACTTTGCCACCATGGCTCATGTCCTTCAACTCACAGGCTACGAGAATTCAGAATCCCCACAGCCATGTAGATACATATAAATACTGACGCATCCACTACAAGTTCAAAATTTAAAAGTCCAGAATTCTCTTATCTCATAATGTAGGATAAAATAGTTTCTAGATTACATTTTCATTGTACTGCCTAACATGTTCACTGAATATTATACTGCCTCATATGCTGCCTAACATGCCTAATATAATGCTTAATATACTGTGTAACATGTTTACTGGATATTTTAAGTGCTTTCCCATTTCTACTCCCACATTCCCCCCCCTCCCCCCCAAATGCATCAAGATAGGACAGATGAAATGAAACTGGAGTTGCTTTTGATGGATAGCTCTAGAAGGACTTAAAGTGCCATGCTTGTTCTTCTCTACCATCCTCCACGACTGGAATTCTACAGACAGAGTTGCCCTAAGATCCTGGTTTGCTATCCTGTCCCACTTTTTCATCTTGGGGCATGGAACTAGATGAAGGGATGCCCTTCTGAAATTACTGTGTTGGCATAAATGGCTTGGTTAATGTCCATGGATGAAGAGATCCCCAGACAAAACATACATGCCAAGGCTTTTGGGGAAAAAATATAATGAAATATTTTCAGACAGTAAAATAATTTTAATTGGCTTCCCTTACATATGAGCCTGCCATAATAACCATGAATAATTTGGATCCTTATATAGAAGAGGCCATCAGGAAAAAGGACAAATTAACAACATTAACAGTTTTTCTAACGGTTCCATTAATACTACACAGCATGTTTGAAAATGCCTTAAAAGTCATCATGAATTTATCCACTGTGAAAACAGCAAGGCAAATCAATCAAAATTTCACATACCGTATATAAATAAAAATACCATTAATAGGACAGGCATATTTTTGTATTAGAATGTTTGAGATTATGGGAGAAAATTAAAAACTTTTAACAACAATACCTAATGCTAGTAAGCTCAATGATAGTCATAAAATAATAAAGTACTTAAAATACATTAGAGAAAACATGGCAATGATGTTTTCTTTCTTTGTACACTTACATTGTGAGTAGTTTGTAGCCACTGATGTAGGCCAAGAATGATAATGTCAGTAACAGAATATTGTGCTTGGACAAAATCAGATGTTTTCCAAAACCTGGCCATAGGCAATGACTTTTATTGAGGTCTTGATTCCTGCATACGTTCACTCTATTAAATAATGGTCATTTGTGGTACTATAGTTTTAAAACTAAATCTCCAGGCGAGACTAGAATAATTATATTGTCTGGATCCAAATCGTGCAATAAAATGTGTTTTATTAACACAAGCTCATTATACTGTACTAAAACCATACAATCCAAACAACACAATATATGAACTTATCCTTAGTGGGTCATTGCATGTATATTGAATTCATTTTATTTGCATAAGCTATGACCAGCCTAGGACCACTTTGCTCAACCTTTTTTCCATTTTTTCCTGGCAACAGAGGCCAGACACCTCTCTTTACTTTGAAACAAATCACAGTTCCTGACACTGGTTTTTTTTTTTCAAATTAAAGTTTTTAAGGTAGAACTTGAACCATGATTTGAATTTTTTAGTTGTTTGTTACTTAAAATACCTACGTTTATTTCAGTTTAAATACTAATGTATAGTAGTTCATTTAATATGAGAAGTAGATGGGTTTTTTCCTCATGGATACAAAAAAGGAGCCATTATATGTGGCACACTGCTTTCAGCATTCATGTTTTGCTTATTTTAATATAGCATAACTCTCCAGCCTGCTTGCTTAGTAATTAAGGCACAGGATAAAAACCTTCATTCTAATTCCATTATGTGGCTTACTAGCCTGTCTCTCATTTTAAAATGTTTCTGAATGATCTTTAGATATTTCCTCCTTTTTAATATTCTTAACATTTTTATATTGAAAATGACTATCGAAAGCAATATATGTGCTCTGTTCATTTGATCTTAGTTTAATAATTTCCATATGCAGTGAAAAATACCCATTTGCCATTTTATGGATATATAATATCTTGAGAACCAGTTTAGTGTAGTGGTTAGGGTTAGACAAGAAACCAGGCAATTGTGAGTTCTAGTCCCACCAGCAATGGCAAACCACTTGAGGGGGGGGGAACCTTGCCAAGAAAACTGAAGGGACTTGTTCAGGCAATCTCTGAACATTGGATATGATTAAATGGAGACAGGAAGAAAATCATGTTATACAAGTATAAAATATATGTATAAAAGAGTTGCACAGTTTAGAATATTTAGTCCTAAAGGATAATCCTTTCTTCCTTATTCATCTGTAAAATTGAGGTTTTACTATCTATGTTTGTGTGATATATGCATATAAATACTACTTTTGCATATTTTAAGAAGTTCCAAAGGTACTACCAACTTTATTGTTGTAAGGCAACAGAACAAATACCAGCAAAGGCAATCTATTTTGTAATGTAATTCTAAATTGTTACCAGATCAAATTCTAACAGTGCCTTTTGGGTTCCAAAATTAAGTGACCCAGCTGTTTTAGTATAAGTTATTTCCCTTCCCAACTGATGTAATATAACTGCCCTTTACAATGATTATAAAATTCCAGGAGTTGGAGAGACAAATAAAAGCCAGAGATGAAGTAACATCAGGAACTAATTTTGCTGTGCAAAGTCTGGATCATAAACAGATGCAGGGAGTTGGGGACCTACGTGGAAGAGTGGCCAGGTATGTTGGTGGGAGCTACCTTCACTCACCTTGATAAACCATGTTTTAATTTTAGTGAGCACAGGCCCATATGCTTTTCTTTCCTGCACATTACAGTTTTGAGGAGAAAATAATGTTTTCTTTAGGATTTGCTTAAATATAATATTGCACCTAAAATTGAGACAGAGAATTCAAACAAGAATTTTGTCCTTGTCTCTGAAGAATGTTTTTCTCTTACCTCTGAAAGAAATTAGAAGTATTCTATGGCTGTCTCTGCAGCCACTAATGTACCGGCAGTCTTTGTTTACCAACTGCCTTGTGCAGCAACCATTTGAAGTTGCAGAGGTGCTTAAAAAGTAACTTTGCAACTAATTCTAACATTTACGACTATTGCAGTGACCTATATTTATGTGATCACCATTAAAGTGCTTTGCAACTGGCTTGCAACAAGCAGAGTTAATACAGAAAGTGGAAGTAAAATTGTAACAGAATAACAGAGTTGGAATGGACCTTGGATGTCTTTTAGTCCAACCCCCCTCAAAAAGGAAAACCTATACCATTTTAGACAAATCTCTTCTTAAAAACTTCCAGTGTTGGAGCATTTGCAACTTCTGGAGCTACATTGTTCCACTGATTAATTGTTCTAACCGTCAAGAAAATTTTCTTTAGTTCTAGGTTGCTTCTCTCCTTGACTAGTTTCCGTCATTGCTTCTTGTCCTGCCTTCAGGTACTTTGGAAATAGGTTGGCCCCTTCTTGATTTTTCGCATAGCAATTGCATCACTTCACTTAATGATTGAAGGGGAAGTTTGGAGGTTGTAAGGCCATCATGGTCATGTGATTGTTTATCACCAAGTTGCTAATGCCAATTGTGATCATTAAGCAAGGTCTACCTGTAAGTAAAATTACTATAGAAGCTGGCATATAAATCATATTAGTGGACTTAGAAGCACACTGTCAGAATTAAATATACTTAACACAGTCAGTTGTGTTTGCAAGCTATGGCTGCATAAAAAACAGGAAGAAGTTTGATTGTACTGAAATGACCCTCATCTTGAGTTTTTTTTTTAACTATTTCTATGGACAGTCTTGAATGAAGTAGTTTGACAATGAAAATAATAGAATTTTTCTGTATGATTGTTAAAATATACAGTAATTAATGTTTATGTATAATTTAATGATTTGAAGTTAAGCCAGGGACAACTTCTGATATTTATTAGTTTGCTTGTTTGTTTTAGAGGAACCAAGAGCTGGAACACAAATCTCTAAGATCAGCACCAACTCCTGTCATAGCACCAGTACTTGTATTTATACAAGATATATTTTAATGAAACCGAGTATGAATAATTACTCTTGGGCTAAGACAAAGAACATTGAAATGATTCATACAACCATGTAAGCACTTTTTGCATATCACCTGCTTACAGTGTTCACCTAAAGAAAGACTGAGTTGGCCTAGTTGCCAAGAATAAAAAAAATCACCAGTAAAAGAGAATTTTTTTCTTTTATTTTTTTCTATCCGTATAAAGTGAAAGGTGTCCAGAGTCGCTCTGGTGTTGGATGGTTTACAGATGAAATAAAATGAAATGAATGTCGCTATTAATACTTTCATCTGTATTTGAAATTGTCTTCTCCTTAAGCAGCAAATAAACTATTTCAGAATATGGACCCTTTGTGGTACACAGGTATATAATCTCTCTTGTGCTGATATAGATATATGCATGCATACACATGCATACAAATGCACATACAAACACATAATGTGCAGCAAGGCTATTCTTGAAGAAAGAATGCCATGTTGCAAGGCACTCAGAAAAGAAGAAAATTAAAATTCTTCTATGAAATAGTTTATTCAGAAACTATTCTGGGGATTTCACATAGTTTATGTCACATCAGTAAAAATGTCAGACAAATCTGAAAGAATGTTTTTGGTGTCATAAGCTTTTGCGAACCAAAATCTACTTGATGTGTGGAATGATATGTCATCTTAAATTGGCAGAATAGCTGTTCCAACTTCTTTTAAAAAATCTGGTATGTGGGGTGTTTGTGGGGGATGAAGAGCAGGCATGAAGATATTTAAGCACTATGATGCGTCTAATACCTACAAAGATCAGACTTGTACAAACCATGATATTCTCTGTGACACACTATGGAAGTGGAAGTTGGATTCTATAGGATAAGAAGAGTATTGATGTTTTGGAACATTGGTATTGGAGAAGATAGAATATAGTGGTCAGCCAAGACACCAAATCTATGGATCTTTGAACAAATCAACCCAGACTTCTCACTCACGGGACAAATGACCAGGCTCAAATTATCCTACTTTGGATACCTGATGCAAAGACCAGGCTTTCTAGAAAAAGGTTTAATGACGAAAAAGATAGATAAAACAGAAGAAGAGTAATGGACTCAGGTGAATGGACTCAGTTATAGAGGCAATGAGTACACTACTGGGAGACATGAAAGAATAGGACAGGGATAGATTGATATGGAAAAGAAAGATCTGTGTGGTTGCTAGGAATTGAAAACAACTTAATGTTACATAATCAATCCACCTACATATATTTAAATTTAATGAGCCACTGTTCATATATCTGATAAAATGAACTCTGATTCATAAAGTTTCTGCTGATAATTCTCATCATGCTACAAGGGTTTGTTGGTTTTGCCTCAGAGATATAAAAGAATATAGAAGAGGAATGAAAAGTGTAAGGACTATGAACCATAGGAGATTGCGCAGTAATACATTAACCTTTGGAGATTTTTTGGAAAAGTCCATAGAAGTGGAATAAGAAAGGGGAAAGAGTTACACCTTTATTTATCATGTCTCCAAATATCCTGGAAAATGAGGAGCACATGTACTTAGCATTAGGGTAAATTAAAAAGGGAAATAAATACTGTAGTGCAGCTAAGTTAAATTTTATAGCTTAGGAGCCAGCAGAAGTGAGTAGTCACACATCTGAAACTAAGGATTTCAAGAATCAGAAATGAGTAAAGGTATAAAATACACAATCCTTTCTTAGGGAAGAAAATTGCTTGTTGGAGATATACTTCTGAATGATTAATAGAAGAGAGAATTTATGGTATGGAGGAAATACAGAAACTACCCTCTTCTTTGTTATCAACTTTCTAGATGCGATGCTAGCATTGCCAAACTCTCTGGAGATATCAATATCAGCAGGCATGAGATTTCAAAACTAGAGAAAGAATTTCAAGCTGTTCAGTCTTCCTTGGACAATTATATGAATAATATTGAGATGAAGGTGAGTGGCTCTGAAGTGAATTTATTTATCTGTACTGTATGTTAGAAATCATTCAACTTTTCCATTTGGTTTAAAATTGCTGACTCATGTTAATAGAAGAAAAAAACAGATGGGTTTTTTTATAGAGGTGGTGAAGGAGATTTAGCAGCATTATGATGGAATTAAGACCCAGAATGATTGCAATAGCCAATTGTACAATTAATATTGTACAGCGCTGAAATATGGAGATTGAGAAATGATGCTGTGTGATCACAATACTTATCATGTCTAACATCATTTTTGACTAATTACAGTTTATTAAACAATTGTAAAACACAGAAAGATATACAGTAACGCAGAAAAGGTCCTGATATTTTTTGTAATGCAGAAAAGGTCCTGAGATTCCCAAGCATTATTGCTCTAAATGTTTGTTAAAAAAAACAGGTCATACCAAACAAACTTGATTACCTTCTTTGGTAGAGTGGCTATATTAGTGGATTAAGGAAATTCTACGAATATAGTATACTTAGATGTCAGCAAGATAAAGTAGACTACAGCCTACTTCTTGGTAAGACAGAAGAAGGTGGGATAGAGAGTGCTACCACGAGGTGGATTTCAGTTGGCTGGCCAACTGCACTCAACATGTGTTTCTTAATGGAACTACATCTACATAGAAGGAAGTATGCAGTGGGATACTTCAAGATTCTCTTTTATGTCCACTGCTCTTCAATATCTTCCATAAATGAACTAGATGAGGGGTTTGAAGTGGTGCTCATTAAATTTGTGGATGACACTAAGCTGGGGGGAAATGCTAATATTTTGTAGTATAGAGTCAAGGATTTTATCAGAAGGATCTTAACAGACTTAAGCATTGGGCCGTATCCAGCAAGATGCAGTTCAATGGTGAGAACAGTAAGGGCCTGCATTTACGCTACAGGTAAAGGATAGGCAGAGTACCTGTCTCAAATATAGTGCCTGTGAGAGGGATCTAGATGTTCAGATGAATCACCACTTAAGTTTGAGTTAGCAGCCTGCTGCAGCTGCCCAAAAGAGCCATCACAATCCTAGATTGGATCAACAGAGATATAAAAGAATATAGAAGAAGGATGACACAGGATGTGATAGTACTGCTCTCTACTGCACTAGTGAGGTCGTATTTGGAATTGAGTTCTGGTCAAAATATAAAAAAGATGGTGAAGTCCTAAAAGTGTGCAGAGAAGTGTAACACAGATGATAAGAGATTTGGAGGCTAAATCAATGATTAAGGGAACTAGGCATTTTTAGACTAATGAAGAGAAGGCTTAGGGAGACATGATATCAGTCTTCCAATACTTGAACAGTGGTCACAGAGAAGGTCAATGTATTCTCCATAGAACCTGAGGGCAGGACAAGAAGCAATGAGTGGAAGCTCATCAGGGGGAGATCCAACCTGGAGTTAAGGGTGAATTTCCTGACAGTGAGAATCAATGTAACAGCTTGGGTTATGGGTGCTCCATTGCTAGATGTTTTCAAGAAAAGATTAGGTAACCATTTGTCCAGAATTGTATAAGGACTTTTGCCTTGGGCAGGGAATTGGACGAGAAGACCGCCAAGATACTTTCCAGCCTATGGTTCTATGAAATGGATAAAAACTACGTTCTAATTTTAACCTCTCTATACTTGAGCTTTATTATTGAGAGTATTTTTAATGTAATTCATTACATTAAAGATTTTGAGCAAAATTGCTTGTGGGTGGTTGTTTTTCTTTTTTGTTTCTTTGTTTTTGCTCTCTGGTACCTTCAACTAGACCCCACACATTAGACATTCAAAGTTAAGATTCCAAGAAAGATTTTTATTTTTATTTTTAAATTAAAGTTAAATGCTGGATAGAGTTATGTTCTTAGATCTGTTCTTGCTGAAGAAGATTTATTGAAGTAAAAAGGTATTTGGATTATTATTTTTTTCACTTTGAACACTTTGAAAAAATATATAAAGATGAATTTTAAATTGTCATATACTTTTCTAAAATATAATTAGATTTGAGTAATCACATTAATGGACTAAGAATCACTACTGAATTTAAGCTAAAAGCTAAAAATGAGTAACAAAGACTATGGTCAATCCAGTATGAATTTTCACATTAAACAGCACATTTCTACGTTCAGTTCATATTACAAAATAGCTATTTTGAATTCTGTATCTGATAAAATAAAAATATAATTTCTATGCATAGATAAATCCACATTTTTTTGTATGTGGTACAAATCCATGTTTTAGATTATAATATAAAAATAGCAATAGCACTTAGACTTATATACCACTTTACAATGCTCTACAGCCCTCTCTAAGCAGTTTTACAGTCTCCGCATATTGCCCCCAACAATTTGGGTCCTCATTTTACCCACCTTGGAAGGATGGAATGCTGAGTCAACCTTGAGCCTAGTGAGATTTGAACTGCCATATTGCAGACAGCAGAAGTAGCCTGCAGTACTGCACTCCAACCACTGCGCCATCATGACTCATTGTTCCCAGTTTGCTTTAAAGATAGGAAATTATTCTAGACATTGAGACATGCTTGGTTAGCTATTCTTCCATTAATGGGATTTGACAACCTTTTCAGTAAGAAGCAGATATCAGAAGCAGATAATTGCCTTTAGCAGTTATTGCTTATAGGCCAGTTCTATATACTCTGAGGAGATATGTGATTTAATGAAGTATAATAACAGCATTGTAAGTTGAAATAGGAATTTGTTTCATACTGGTTTATCTCATACTGGTGTGAATCATTTTTCAGAATTGTTCAAGTTAGCCTGTATTGCTGCTGAATATAAAAAAATAATCTGACCTTCTCATTATATTTCCAGAAATTTTTTGAAAGTGAATAATATATTTTAAAGATCAAAACTGGGTAATATACCAACTTTCTGCACCATAATGTTCAGGGTAAATTAATATTATTCTTCCATTAAAATTCCCAGGTTATTAATACACTTAAAATTTTTACGTGGTTATACTCTCAGACTAATCGATCGTACCTAGTAGCTTGCTGTTAAAAATCTTGTGAAGTTTATCTGGCTCACATACTAAAAATTGTTCTTTTAAGTACATTTTTCACACCGTTATTTTTCTGTATTTTAATTAAGGAGAAAATTTTGTTAATTTGATTCCTGGACAGCTGTCAATGTCTATCACTGTTCTTGAGCTGAATGGTCAACCTAGGTAGGCCATCTATAAGCTTCGAAATTATCTGACTTTATATGTGCATTGAACTCTTCTTGATAAGGAACATGAAGGCTTTGAGGAAGGGGCAAAATCTTAGGTGGGACTTTTGCAGAAGCTTTCATAACTATCCCACAGACAAAAGTTTATCCAGCTCTCTATTAGAATATGGGCTTTGTTCCCCTTGTAAAGAAATGTTTATCTGATGTCCTTATTACTATTAACGCCATATGAATTTCCCAAATCTTGTATTTTTCCTGTACCAAAGGATCATACTTGTTGACATACTTGTTGTGTTCTGTGTAGAAAATGTAAAATGAAGTTCTTTCAAACTTGCCCATAATTCTTGAAAGCTTCTTCTGCAACCAATGAAAAAACTGAACAAATGCTTGCATAACCATATAACATGAGTTACTGGTACAAGTAGTACTCATTTAGCAACTACAAGTGGAACTGGAACCTTGGTTGTTAAGTGAAGCAGTCATCAAGAGAAACCAAGACTGTGTTTACAATCATACTTTAGCTTTGCTTTGCTTTAGAGACCCTCTAAGGATTGGTTGCCAAATTACTTTTTCATCACTGTCATAACTGCAAATGATTGTTATCCAAAGCAGTCATTATGTAAAAACAAAGGTAAGTCTTTCATGCAGAAATATGACAGAAGTAGGACAATTAAAACCTTCGCAGGAAAAAGATTCTTACTTGCTGACTATTCCAAATGGATTAGCACATAGTATAGCTCTTCCTGAAAATGTAGAATATTAGAGAAAAGGGTCTCATCTTCACTTTCTCTCTAGCAGCCTATGTATAATCTGATCATTTCTGTAAAAAGACTATAAAAAATCAAACAAACACTGGACATTAATAATTATTTTGGAATAGTTGATAAGAATCTTTTACTATGCAGCAAAATTAATTCTGAGAAAAGGTTATAAAAATGAGTCTATCTGAAATTCTGACTTTTCCCTTAGTCACGGCAATCATAATAAGTATTTAATGTAAATGCTGGGATTTCAGTTCATAATGTTTTATTGTTGTTGTTGTTCCTATTAGGTAATGCATCTTTTAGGCAAAATAGAGACTTCAAACTCAGAGCAGACTTCAAATTTAAAGACAATACAGGGTGATCAACACCATGAATTGCAGCTCTTGGACTTCAAGTAAGGGAACAAAGCTTTTCAATTATGTTAATGTGCTTGGTGAGAAGTTATGGTGCAATGGTATTGGCATGACAGAACACCACCAAATTAATTTACTTGCCTTTAAAAATCCTGACAGGCCAACAAAGATAAATGTTTACAAAATCACATAAATCTTTTTTTGCAAAGCTGATGCAATGCTTTAACTGAAACTGCACAGTGCTTTTATTTGCTTTCACTGATAGCTGTAAGAACAAAACTTGTCTTATGTAATACAAAAGAATAAGTAGAAAGACAGAAAATCATAAGAACCAATGCAAATTGGTTTTTATAGACAGTCATTCTGTGAGTGAATTAGGCACTTTCTAAATTTGCTTTATAAATGCATAAAATATTAAATAAAACTTTAAGGATTTAGAGAAGGAAAAAGACTATAAAAATGGGTTGGGAGAGCATCCATGCTATACATAACTATATCAGATCTTTATTTTCCTAACATATAAAAAAGTGTAAAATATAGCTGTACTATACTTGTTTTCTTTTTGAAGAATTGCTTTTGAACACAAGTGCTTAAAGGCAGCACCTATCTACGCTCATTGAAGTAACTGTGTGTTTCTAAGATTGATATTATTTCAGTGAAAGCCCTACTGAAAGGGCTGCTTAAACTTGAAAAGATGCAGCTGCTTTAATAAGTAGCATACTGTTGCTTTCTGAATGTTTTTTTAAAGTCAGGAGTGAAATACTAATTCAGATGCTAGATGAAGAACTATTTATATTTAATTGTAAAATCAGTATGTTTTTAAAAAACAGGATAAGAAGACAACTCAGAAGTGTTTGGAGAAATGTTGTTTCTTCACTTCATTCTTGCCTTACATATATATGTTCATCGGTTGTGGACACATGCATGCACACACACAGATACATTGATGCTCATGTTCAACTTATTTCCTATTCTTGCAAAAGATCTAGTTTTGCTAATGTAAAAGCTGTGATCAGAAATTGACTTACAATGCTTCAAAATGCATAAGCTTTGATCACTTTCAAAATACATTGTAAAGATCTCTCTTGTTGGGTGAATACATATCATCAAATATCATATAAGTATTTATAGCCTTGAAACTAAAACCATACCACCATTGTTGGTATTTAACTACCAAAATTGGCAAAAATGAAGAGTATATGGAATAAATCTGATTCATGACTTGAAATCTGAATAGGTTTATGTTTGAGTGAAGCTTTTACCCACATGAATGAAAATTAAGAAAATTTTAGAAAGTTTTAGAAAATTAAGAAAAAATTAACATAAAAACCCACTTGTTATTCAAATTGCTTTTGTAGTGAGATCATGATATAGAAGAACTGCATGTTTTATGCTTTATTTTCATGAAAATTAAAAAGAATTTCTCTTTAAATACTAGGATAAATGGCATTTTAAATGATTTTAAAGATCAAATTCAAAACCAACGAAAGTGGATGGAAAGTGAGTTACGGAGATCTGAACAAGAGCAAGTCCATTTCACAAACCAGCTCTCTGCTACAATCAAGGACAGATTGGCAAGTACTTTTGTAATTCATGCAAAGAATACAAGCATAATATGCTGTGTCAAAAAGCTTCTTTTATAAAAGAAGAGCAGAAATATTTTAAACAGATAAGTAAAGTGTTTAGATCTGGTTAACATTCTCAGGGATTTCACATGGCTGAGTTAGGAAAATGAGCCAGCAGGGAATCCTGGGAAAGAGGATGGTGAGAAGATTATCTCACAAAGAATCTACAACAGAAGTACAGAAATCAGGAACACCTGAAGGAAGCATAGGAGCCAATCAGATTTTATTACTAGACATTGAAAGCCCATTCATCTTTGCTTTTTGTGTTCAATATTTTGCTAGAGAAAGGTAATAAACTAAGGTTACTTTGGGGACTTGGGACAGTCAGAGATGTATGGATTTTAAGCTGCTACATTATGGATGTTGTTCTTTCAGTCACAGGCAATAAAATATGCCATCTTAAATAAGTTTCTTAACAGATGGCAGAGTGCTCCTTTTTCAAACTGTAATCTGAATTACAGCTTGAGTTTTTGGCAAGAGGAAGGATGTTGGCTTCATGCAAGCACTTAGGCAGAGTGTTTAGCTTCAGAAAGTAGCTGATCCAGGACCAGGACTCTCTATCTGCATATAACTTTCTTCAAATTTGTCCTTTGTGAGAGAAGAGCCCTTGGTGTGATAAACTGGAACAGTTCACTTTAGTTTCAAAAGGAGCCAATTTAGTTGTTTTATAAAATAATTTAAAAGACATACTGTATGATTGCTAATTCTAAATTATTGCACCATGCAGCAAGTTTTAAATGTTGTATTTTATAGATTAAAATTATTGAAGCTTTAAGTCAATGTTTGCTAAGTGCTTTGATTTTTGGAATCAAAATCACTGTGGGCTGCTCATCAGTTAGAAATGGCTCTGCCTTCCAGTTTTAAATCTTCAGTTCTATCTTGAGATCTTTCTTTTAATTAACCTTTATTGTGCTTGTATCTGCTTAGTAACTTAATCACTTAATGAAAAACCTAATAGAAAATGAATAAAATATTTGATAAGAGGTACATTTATATATAATAAAACATACCATTTGAAATAAAAAGATGACAAGAAAAGAAGTTGGAGAAACAGAAAAGAAATATCATAGTCAAATTAAGCACTATCTTAAAAATAGTGTTTTTGTTCAAAATTTACCATAGGGAGAATTGCTGGAGAGTAGATAGGGAAAACTGGTGTTGAGCCAGATAGAGCCACAAATTAGATTGCCAAAAACAGACCCACAATTTTGAACAATATAAATTGCAGAAACCAACCTATCTGAATTTAAGCCATGATTGACTAGGGTTTTTGTAACTCAAAAAATTAGGAAATCATTGATGTAATTGCTATCCACAGCTTTAATTAGTAGCTTGGATCTTAGTTACAATGTTCAACATTTTATGATGTTGGATCTAAACATGATGAAAGAGTTGCTGCTTCATGGCCAGTTGTTCATTTAATTTTCTTTCCAGACTTCTACGTGAGCCAGAAAATAAGAAGCAGCAGCATTTTTTTCCAAGCTCAACTGACGAGACCTGCACTTCATGCAAAGAATTTTGATATCCAACATTTATTTGGACACTCCTGCCTTTCACTGTGCCAAACAATTTTTATAAGCTGAAGCATCTTCAGAGTTTCATAGAAAAAAATATATCAAAAAGTTTGGAAGCCTCTTATACCAGATTAGCTTTAAATCCATCCCAACTTATTGGCTGTTCCTTAAAAAGTCAGTTACTTATTTAACTGAGAAATGAGATTTATCATTTTTGTAAATGTAAATTTACAAATAAAGATAATTATACAAATGATAGTACATCTACAGAAAAAATATATAACAGATAAGCAGAGTTAATTTCATCCCTTTATATTGAATGAATAAATATAACATTATTAACAGAGTAATTCTATTCATTTTTCACAATAACTCTTTCAAAAGGAAATACTGGAAAAGAAATTGGAAGATGGGTTATACTATGTCTCCAAAAGAATAGAAAAAAACACAGAAAAAACATTGCAATTTGATGTGGAACTCAGCCAGGTGAAAAATGATCAAAATAAACTACATGCAAAGATTGCCAGGTTTGAAAAGCTGATGTGGACTGAACTAGAAGGAATGCAAAATGAATACAGATCAGGTGAGGTTATTTTTCAAACTTACATGCATTTGTGTGTTTGCATGTGTGTTATTTGGCCACACAACTTCATCATTCTCCATCATACCATAAGCACAGGGATGGCCTTCAAAAATTTAACAAGTTTTCTGCCCAGTTGCTGGGTGGCCATGGCCATGGTGGGTGTGACCTAGTTCACCTCCTGCCTTCCTTGGGCTCCAGAGGCTTTCCTCAAGCCTCCAGGATGAAAACCACCTCCCTGGGCTCCGGAGGCTCTCTGAAAGCTGGAAATGGACCCATTTCCGGCCTTCCGCATACTCTGCACTTATCTGCATCCAAAACGGGCTTTGTGGGGACTCCTGGGAGGGGCAGGGAGGGGGGACGGGGCCAGCCACGAGTGGGATTTGCGGGTTCTCCAAACTGCACAGAATCTTAGCTAGGGGCTCTCCTGAACCCCTGCAAACCCCCAGTAGCCTACCCCTGCATAAGCAGGAAAACTGACAATCTCTTTTCTGTGGTTCAATTTATAAACCTTTCTCTTCACAAAGGACAAAAAACAACTTTCAGCAGAAATAACTGATTCCTCTGATATTTAGATAAATTGTGAGTTCAGATCTATTGCTATTTCTAGTCTTCCTTTTTCATGTCAGAAAACATGTATATACTTTTACTCTGATTTTAGGCATGAAATTATTTATGAACCAAAGGAGAACTAAACTAGCTCATCTTAAAGCTGGTCCATTCATTTACTTAATTGGAAAAAAGTGTTATAAAATATTTCAATGACACATTAAAATGATAGATCAAATGATGACCTTAAGCTAAGAAGCAATAGTCAAAAAATATTTTGGAATGCTGTATAAACACAAAATGTGATATTAATGATCATTTTGCCAACTTTACTAAAAGATGCCTGTTATTTATCAGGATTTCAATCTATCCGTGACTCTCTTGACGCGCTCAAACATATACAGACAACAAAGCTAAAACTTGAAGAAGAGAAATTCAAGCAAGATATGAAAAAGCTACAACGAAAACTCAGTGAACTGAAAGACTTGAAAACTCAGTGAAAGACTTGAAAACTCAGTGAACTCAAAGACATTTCGTTTACTATTTACATTTGTTCCATCAAGGGAAAATACTAAAAAGGTTGAAAAAGTTAACTTCCTTATTTGTACAATATCAGACTTGTTTTCCTGTAACTCTTTAACAAAAGCACTGTCATAATTCTGAACAGTGAAAATAGAATAATATTAACATGTCATTTTATGTTTGAAAAAAATAAAATGCAAGGGCTTAGCAATGTGTAAGTCATTGCATGATTTAGACAAACCATTACATCAAATATCCTCAGTTATATCCTGAAGTTTTGAAATTATGTCCTTAAACAGAGAAACTTATACAACCTTATCAGCTCATCTATGTAATTTTATCATCAGTTATGAAAAAGAATTTCCCCCCTAAAACATTTGTCTTTTTGTGAAGAAATAATGTTTACAATTTCAATTGTTCCGCAAATTCAAATTACTCATCACTTTTCCATGCAGTATTCTAGCTACCAATTTGTTTTTCACTTTGTTTTTAATTGTTATTTATTTGTAAGAAAGAAAAAGCTAAGTTTGCAAAAATGTAGCCATATGCCCAGAAATATTCTGAGGAATGCAAGCCTCTTAGCCACTTAATGCCAAAATATTTTTTGTCAAAGTAGCTAACTAGAAAAAAATAGCTAATTAGAAAAAAGATGCAAACAACATGCCCCTCCTTGACCAACTCTCATGTACACATTTTCTAACAATGAGATTCCAGATATAATTTAGCACCAGTTTTTGAGGAGAAAATGTTCTTAAACATTCAATGGAACTTGTTTTGGTCTTCTATAAGATTGAAATCAAGTGGTTGAATAATGCAAAGGTTGCATAACATTTTTTGCTTCCTGAAAGAAACTTCATTTGCAACACTTCAAATTCTCTGAAGAAAAAATATCAGAGCATCAATTATGAGGTTCCATCAGTTTTGAAAAACAGATTGAATGAATAGGAAGAATTGGGGCCAATAACCTGGGAGGGAGGCATTCTTTTAGTAGTAATTCCAGTACTAATGTCCTCAAATTGTAAAGCACTGGGGAAATTAATTACATTTTTCTTCTTCAATCCCATCTTTTGGGATTATATTTGCTTCTATGTAGCACTGAAACTTGAGTCTTATAGGTGAAATAATAGTAAATTTATACTCTTTTCTAATGTAGGGAAGAAAAAATGACTTTAAAACAATGTATATAGAATTATTCTGATACAATGGCAGATGGTGTCTTTTAATTGGTTTTTACCTTCTCAAACTTGACAGCCCCCACCCCCCAAAGGGCAAGGGAACATAGTTCAAAAGAAGCAGGGATCAACTTGGCAGCAAAACCAAGTAGGTAAAGTGGTTTTAAAAGGAGTAAAAATTCTTGTTTTCATAAAATGCAGACTGAATCCTTCTCTCAACCTTTATGTCAAAAGTGGGTTCCACAACTGATGTTTGTAAGGGCAGTTCTGAATATGAATATCTAAACTTAAGAACTATTTCTTCAAAGGAACTGTGTCCATTCTATCTAAATATAATTACTGTAATTATCAATGGTTAGCAGAACAAATATAATTTCACTTTAATGACAAGCAAACTGATAGTCATTATCAAACCACGCTACAAAGGAAAAAAGAAGAGCTTAATGCATTTGTGTGAAGAATTCTTTAAAGTTAAATATGAGAGCAATCCAGTCAGCATACTAGGTCTCATAGTTTTCATACTGTCCCTCCCAGAGTAGTTGGGAGTCTAGACAGGATGTAAATATAATAAATCTAATTAATTAAAAATGGAATTTAATGTGGAAGGAATATTACTAAATCCCTATTTCTGGTATGTTTTATTGTGGAGGTAGTAGGTTGGGTGGCGGTGGAAAACAAGAGAATTTTAAATCATAGAAATGGCTTGAAATTGAAGTAAAAATACACCTCTCTACCCTTTGGCTCCAAATTATAGCTCAGCATTTGTGTATGAAAAACAATTTAAGAACAATTAAGTAACATTTGTCGTTACAAGCATGTCCTACTTCATACTTACCATCTATTTTATGCTATGTTTGAAACTATTTGATTCTGAAACATCGTGAACTTGATGAACAAGGAGCATCAAATACTATGGCCTCATGTCATCTTTGAATCTAATTTAAACTAAAAATATTTATTTCCAAAATGGACTCTAGTGAAGGTAATGAATAAGACCAGAGAGCTGAAAATCTACTTTTCTCAGGCTCTGGCCATCATCTCTCTGAAATCAAAGGTTTGCTGCAGCTGAACCATCAAAGACAGCCATGACACATAACTTTAAATATAGCCAGAAAAAAATAAAATTTGGATGAAAGCATAAAGTTCCGAATTAAAAGGTTCTGCACGCAGAGTAAGATGTAAACAAGCTGTAAACAATGTTTCAACAGATTTTATTGTTTCATCACCCACCAAGTTAAAGGTTGCGAAGCTGTAGAAAGATATATTGCTACATAGTAAAAAAAAAAAAAACATGGACAGAAACAGCAAGGTCTTAGCAGACTATGAAGATAAACATAGTCCAAAGTTTATTTAACACATGGATGTATTAAGGTTCCATTTTGAAGACAGAAATCCCTCATATTTAATTCTAGAGCAGAGGTCAAAATCTTTGTGCTTTCCAAGGTCACTAGCATAACACTGTAATTTCTCAGTAGAAGCACAGATTAAGTACTGTATACTTCAATAAAAGTTCAACAGGATAGTTTAATAACTGATTCCTTTTCATATAAATTGGACTGTTAGCACTTGTAATTTAAAGTCAAGGTATTTGTCATGAAGATGTTATTTCCAAAAGCCTCCAAAGTTATTCTGATTCCTCACTAATGTTAGTGCTAGGAGGCTGCTGCTGAGAGTTTCTTGTCCAATTCCAAAACTCGAATATCTCCGTTAGCTTTGGCATTTGCTGTAAGAGCCTGCAGAATTTGGAAAACAGAGAGAGAAAAAAGAATTATGCATTAATGTGAGTATCTCAGAGTGTAAGAGTTTAAGGATGTTTTCTTATTTGCTAATCAATCACAAGCTATTTAAATAGGCCACTTGGTTGTACATACCCCCTGCACTCCCCCCGCATGCGTCTCCCGCATGCATCTGCCCCCCCATACATGCGCAGCAGAGACCCGAAAATCAGCTGGCTGGGGGGGAAGGCACACATGCATGCACGGTGGAGCTGAGCTGGGATGACAGCTCACATCCCCGCAGAGAGGGCTCTGTGTGTCACCTGTGACACGTATGCCATAGGTTCACCATCACGCTAAAATCCAGAAACACCAAAACATTTTGGGTTTCGTTATGCAGCTAACTCAAAAGTGTAACTTCCAGAACAAGATGGTTTTGGGTTCGAAAGAAAACATAACCTGTGCACACCTCTAGTTTTGCAACTTATAGTTTGATGTATGGATAGTGGGGTAAGTTAATTAAGTAATGCACTATCCTCCGTGCTATTTTTTATTTTTATTTTATTTTTGTTTTTCCTAGTTTATTCCTCCAAAGATTGTGGCAAGATAGCCAAAGTCCCCATCCCACCTTTATTCTGTTCAATACTTAAAACTGAAGCAGGTTATATGTTCAGGTCTGAACATATAAGTGGTGAAGGGGGGAAATCTGATGGCTCCTTGCACTTAGCAGTAGTAACTGTCCTTTTTATTGTAAGCAGATAAAGCACTTCCCCCACTGCTACTTCAGATTACATTCATTATATGAAGAAACAAAAAGGAACTAGAGGATAGCTGTATTTCTTGGAAAATAGAAGAACAAAAGGGCAATCCAACTAATTTTTTTGTCACAAATAGCACTACCCCTGAAGAGAAGATTGGCCCCAAACCTGCTCACCTCCAGTGAATTGGAGTTATTGGTTTTTTAAGAATCGTTTTAATGTGTGGTCAACTCCTCAGAGTTGTATTTGCAAAATGAGTAGCCATATAAATAAACTTAATAAGCAATCCAATGTTAAGGAAAACTCTTTAATTGCTGAAATCATGGACTACCGTAATCAATGTTCTCTGTTTTTTTAAATAACTTGATGTTAGTTCATCAACTATATGATTAATGAGCACTTTTGATTCATGAATGCATTATGGTATGAAAAAGAAATTATTTTCAATGATCCAAGTAATATTTTTATCTAACATACTTTAACTGTATATTTAAAGTTCCCTAACTATCTTTCTAGTTAAAGGTTAAAATGAATGGTACAACTTATAAATGCAACAATTTGAACTGAAAAAAGATACAACAAAATCAAATGCAGCAGCTTACTACAAATATAAAATTGTAATCCTTCCTTAAAGCTATTAAAAGACAAATTCTAATGGTGCTTCCTCAAAAGAACATTCCATAAGTGCAATATTACAGATTTTTTTTGTAAATGAAATCTAGTGTACTTGATATATCCACCTAAATAAATAACTGTGGAATATATTAAACTCCCAAATAAAGCACAGAGAAACCTATTTAGCATATATAACATGAAATTGTTTCTCACATCGATTAATTCATAATCATCTTTGGCATATAAATGTCTTAAGAGATACCATCGGGCAACTGATACTACAGTTTCTGGAAATCCAGATTGATATACCACTCTCTCTAACATACGACGTGTTTCTCTACAAAGAAAACAGAAAAAGTAAAATACTGATTAGATGTTATAAAAAATAGTGAGAAAATGGCAAAATAAGTACAAACCTACAGCATTTTAGACATTCAAATATATACTTATATTTACATTAATTCATGTTTACAAGTAAGGATGATTTTCTCTCACTACAAATGAGCAGAAAATAGTTATATTCTGAAAAATAAAAATAAATCTAACACATCATTAAAAGTGAGTGAAATTCTGAACTGCCCCCATCAAGAGGACAAACAGTCTGTTAGATAGATATTGACTGTTTACAGGTGAGAAAATGTTTTCATTATTACTCAATCAGATTCTTGGCGCCAGTTCAAAGAATATTTCCATGCAAGCAAAGCTGCTGTATAACAGC